CAGAGCCCCCCCCGGGAGGAAGGCCAGCCGGGGGAGCCAAAGTCCAGGACTCTGGATGTTAGAATTGTACCCCCCCCCCCCCAGTCCCTTGGCTGAGCTGTTTGGCCGGGGAAATCCAGCGCTTGGTTTTGCCTCTGCTGACTGGGCTGGGTGCAACCGGCTCTCCTGGTTCTTCCTGGGCAGGAGGGCAGCCGCCTTCCTTCCTGCTCAGCAAAAGATCTGGCTTTGCCAGGCATGAGAATTAGGGCTGCCAGTTCACCAGGTAGAGCCTCACAGTGGCAGCAGCTACGTTTCTGTGGCTGAGGAACAAGGCCATCCAACCTTGGACTCCAACTCCCAGAGTTCCTCACCTCCCCAGCAGAGGAATTCTGGGAGTTGAAGTCCACAGGTTGCCACCTGCTTGACCAGCTGTAGGTGATATTTCCTTCCCCTTCCCTCTGCCCTTGCCTTTTATTTCATTTATATCCCACCTTTGCTATTGTTATAAACCCCTCAAGGCAGCCGCCGACGTATCTAATATCTCTGCCTGTTTCCCCCACAACAGCAGCCCTGCGGGGCAGCTCGGCCTGCTTTTGTGACCCTTCTGTGGACGTAACTACAAACCTTTCTGCAGTGTGAAAGGCCCCCGGGGGCTCCCGCAGCTTTGGCTGTTTCCTTGCAGAGGGTTCAGGGCCCCAACTGGGCAACCTCGTCGGTGGGAGACGGATTTCTCGGGGAGGGGGCTGGGGTGGGGCCCAGGGCGCGCCTGCATTCTGCCACGGGCCCCTCGGAAAGGTCCCTCCAGGCCCCCAGGGTTGCAATCGGGACGGGAGCCCCGCCTCCTTTGCTTGGCCCAGGGGTTCTGGTCCTGGGCGGGTGGCAAAGCCCCGTGGCACCAGTCAGGCTGCCTCTGCCCCGGGACACAGACAGAGCTGGGCGACCGAGGCAGCTTCGTGAAGGGTGGAGTTCAACCCCCAGAATTCTGGGCTTTGCTCTGGCGACCCAGGGATTCTGGGAGTTGAGGTCCACAGTCATCACAGCCCACGCCTGCTGGGAGGCCCAGGGGCTCCATTACTGGGGGGGGGGTCTCGAGCTCTGGGTGATGGGACGAAGGAGAGCCTCCCCAAGGGTCCTCCCGGGAGAGGGGCAGGGGCCCGGGGGAGGCAGGATTTCTGAGAGGGCGGCCATCCCTGAGACTCTTCTGCCTTCTCCCTGGCAGGCTGGGGGGCTTCTATACCCTCCCCATCTGGCGGGGCCTCCGCCTGGTTTCCCTCAACATGAACTTCTGCTCCGAGGCCAACTTCTGGCTCCTGATCAACTCCACCGACCCGGCCGGGCAGCTCCAGTGGCTGGTGGGGGTCCTGCAGAGGGCGGAGGAGAGTGGGGAGAAGGTGAGCC